GGGCCTCCTCATATCCACCTTAGATATGGCTGAATACGAGGGTCACCGGTCAGTTCGTGCGCGTATTAGGACCGGTTTGAGGATTGCAGCTGGGCTGTGATTTATGACCGCAGATTCTCTAAGATACGCGGCGCAATTTTACACCGCCGCCAGCTTCCACGCACGAACTGTTAAAAAACTATGCGGGTGCAAGATTCACAGCTTACTGTTTATGCGCAAGAAATGCTCATCGACCCTTTGTGACGAATGCAGCCACGTAGTACCTGAGTAGTGCCTCGGTTTTTACACGCAGATGCGCTAGTAAAAACGACAATGTGTCTGCCCTCGACGCAGTGACCGACCACGTCCCGTTCGGCGCTGATACATTCCATGTACTTCCTCGCAGTGCCAGCTAGCCAGCTCGCCATCCCGGGAGGGACGCCGCGTCTCGGTCTCCAACCAAATTTGTACGTATGCACGCACCCGTCTCTCGAACCACACCAGGCCACCGGCTCACAACCGCGCACGGGCTGAAGATCCAAGCAGGGAATACTTTTTTGCGCTAGCAGGCGATGCACAGTTCTTCACTTGTCACTACCATGAATGCCCTGGCATATATAAGTATATAGTAGTAAGAACTAAGAAGTACTAGAGTACTATACGTTGTAGCTCAAGGTCGCTCGCGGCCAATGGCAGGTCGCCACCGCGCAAAGCTCCATTAACAATAGGTTGCGCGACTGAGAAACACAAGCGGGCAGATGAACCGCTTCTGCGCTACGGAACAAGCAGCATATCCCATCGGATCGCTTACTGCGGCGAAGGATTCGAAGATACTGCCGCAGGTAGCCAATTGCTGCAGCTCCTTTTGCTTATAATAGTCGTGTTATTCTTCGCGCCGCCCTGAGCGCACGAGTGTATATATAGGCATGCTGATACCACGTTCCAGTGACCGCTCGAATCGTAGTCTCATAGACGACCACCGCCGAGGAAGCGGAGAGGCCGTACGTACGGCAGAGCGCGATCGAGGTACGTAAGAGGGGCTTCGTCCAATGGCCGGCCGAGGCGGCGGGGCGTTCGTGCTCGTCGCGCTGTGCATGCTCGAGCTCGCGCTGCATGTCGCCAGCGCCGCCCCTGCCCCCGCCCCCGCCCCCACGCCGGAGGGGCTCGTGCCGGCCATGTTCGTGTTCGGTGACTCGACGGTGGACGTCGGCAACAACAACAAGCTGCGGGGCTGCAAGCCCGAGTGCAGGGCCAACTACCCGCAGTACGGCGTCGACTACCCCTCCCGCGCGCCCACCGGCCGCTTCAGCAATGGCAAAAACCTCGCTGACTTCATAGGTGCCGTGAAAACTTCTCTTCTTCCCTTGATCTTTAATAAATACTCCCTCCATAAACTAATATAAAAGCATTTAGATCACTACTTTAATGATTATACTACCTAGAAGAGGCTATTGGTTTTAGCTTCTTTTTTGCGGCGAATTTTGCCCAGGTGTATTTGCGTTGCTACTTACTGAACACGTGAGCAGTCTATGCATGTTATCGTGCCAGCTAAGCAACGAACAACGAAACTGAAAGCCTGCTGTCCTTTGAGTCTCCGAGTGACGATCTAGGCACTAGACGCCAAATCCTTTCAGTTAATCTTGTTTCCTTTTTGAAAGCGCCTTTCAGTTAGTCGAAGCAGACCATAGACACAAGGGTGACTTCTTTCTCTTTTGAGTTTTTCCGGTGGACCTGACGCGCATGATCTCTGGTCTTTTCCTGGAACCGATTAAAAAAAATGGGTAATGTGGCAAAAATATGGGAATGACTTATGGCTAGGGGTGAAAGACCAACCAAGATCTAATATAGTTGGTTTTTCCCGAAAGCTAGAACTTAAAAGGATAATTGAAATGACTTGTCTTCGAATCTACTTTGGTTGGAGCTTGAAAAATAAATAAAAATAAAGTAAATTCAAGGAAGGTTTTTTTTTAACAGCCCATTGGGAGGTCGTGGACAACTATTCTTCTCCTCTTATTTCATATGGAATATAATCACTTAAAATAAGAAGGAACAGGGAACATCGTGCGTACGATGTCGACGTGCCGATGTGGAGTTGTCAGGAGCATTAAGACCTTGGAGCTTCAATCATTTAGGCTGCCCGTAGTGGGTAGTATCATAAGTTAATATAGCATGCACATGATACTAGTGTATAATACTACCTTCACAATACATAGTATTATAAAAAATCTTGATTATAAATTAGTATTTTAGATGCTCTTATTTATTTTCATGCAAGACACATAGTAGTACGGTATTTATTATGAAATTGTATAACGATATGATACTAAATTCTCTCTTTTCTTCATTTAATTCTATGTCATCTCATTAAAATTGACTAGTCGGCATGCATGATACTAGCTATGATACTTTCATTACGTACAACCTTATTAGGTTAGCACTTGAACAACTAAAAACACAAATTCATTGGCAGAGGTTGAGCACTTTCACCCTAGTAAAAGTGGTTTTTTTATAAGCATGTCCAGGTTTTGACTTAGAATTGCCATCATGGCCATACTTTTAAAAAACCGAACGAGACCAAGGTTGCAATATTTTCATTTTTTGAGGAACAAGAATATTATGTGTGAGCACCGCAAAGAAGGCCTGGTAGTTTGTTTTGTGTTTCTTTGTTGAAGTGCTACTTTTATTATGCCATACACTTTGAGATGAATTATTTTCTCCAATTTACTTTGAACTATGGCCTAGACTAGTTTCAAACGTTAGTCCACCCAAGCAAAAAAATAACGTACACACACTTAGCTCTCGCCCGCGAGCTCACTTCGCTCATGCATTTTCCACTAACCCTAAACTCTAAAAGCTCTTGTGGTAGTAGTGGCGGCGACCACGGAATTGGTAGAGGCAAGGGCACCTCTTACCCTTGAGCTCTGTTCGTCCCTTCTCAACCCTCTTGCAGATCTTGTGGTGGTATAGAAGGGACTTAGAGCAGATCGTGACAACTTACAAGGCTAGTCATAGTGCAGACACTTGTAAAAAATGTCATAGTGCATATAATATTTAAAACTTCAAACAATCTCTAGAGAATAGTTTTTAATTTGACAACGGAACCCAGAAGCTGGCATTGATACTCCCTGCATTTCATAATGTTTTTTGAAAAATGAAAGCTTTCAAGTTTGATCAAGTATAGAAAAAAATATCTACATCTAGAATATGAAATATATGTCATTTTATATTTTTATATTGTAAAGTTTGATATTGTACATATAATTAATTTTCTCTATAAACTTGATCAAAGTTCACGAAGTTTGACTTTAAACACGGATTTGCTAAGTCTCGTCTAGATGAGAATTAGCAAAGTCTCATCTAACTCCTATACTATTTTATTAACCAAGCAAAAAAGAAAAGCGAAAAATGACAGAAAAATCTATGTACGCTACAATAGATTTTTTGTCAAAAGAGACCACCTGCCGGATCGAAATGACAAAAAAGACCATCTCTGAATTAGATTGACAAAAGAGACCCCCTCGGTCGTGGCGGCAGGCGCGCCAGGCGACACGTGGCACCTGCCGTCACGCCGTGAGGCGGCCGACCCCGCCGCCACGCTGCCAGGCGGCGAGTCGCTGGCGACAGGATTCCAGGCGGCAATGGAACGGTGACTGGTCTGGTGGGCCACGCCACCACCATTTGAGGCGGCCGCCACTGTACCTGCTGCGCTCGGGCCGACACACTGCTACTGCCGCACGCGGGACGGGTGGGCCCTGCCGCCACCGTGTGAGGCGGCTGGCACTGTAGCTGGTGGCACTGTATTATGTGTACCACACACTGGAGCGCATTTGCTTGAACCGGACATAGCAGCTTTTTGGTCGTCCAATCAGCCTAATCACTAGAGATGACCTTAGCTAGCACCGGAAATGCATCTAGTCAAAACCGTGCATGCAATGATGCCACTCAGTGACCCAACCCGTGCATGCAATGGTGGCAGCAACTACAGTTCCGGCCGCCTCATACGGTGGCGGCAGGGTCCACCATACCCATGCTCCGTTCCGTCCTGTGTGGCGAGGGGCTGAAAAACTGTAATGCACAGGCTGCCGTCTAGCAGCGTGGCGGCGGGGCCGGCCGCCTCACGGCGTGGCGGCAGGTGCCACGTGTCGCCTGGCGCGCCTGCCGCCACGACCGAGGGGGTCTCTTTTGTCAATCTAATTTAGAGATGGTCTTTTTTGTCATTTCGATCCAGCAGGTGGTCTCTTTTGACAAAAAATCCGCTACAATATGGAACAGAGGGAGTATAATAAAATAGGGGATGTGGCCACTTTGGTCACTGCTCCGAGCTCGTGATTCTGGGTCAAAACCTGGATAACTGTTTAAAATACACAGTTATAATAAGAGACGATCTCCATCACAGGTAAATGGGAAAAAAAGGTACTTCTCCAAATAATTCTAGTCCCGGACAAAAATAGTAAAAGTGAATCTCAATGCTAACGTTTTATAAGAATTTTTGTTCCAGTAAGCATTAGCAACTCAGCTAACTTTTGTGATTCTATAATGTGGTTCTTTCCTCTATTCACGAAAGACAAATGAGGTGAGCAACTCAGCTAACTTATTTATTGTTTGAACGAGCAGCTGTCTTCCTGGGATTCGACGAGAGCCCACCTGCTTACCATTCCCTCCCGGCTAATGGCATCGTTCCACAGATGAAAAGCGGCGTCAACTTCGCATCAGGAGGGTCAGGCCTACAGACGAACACGGGCCAACTCCCTGTACGCACTAAGCAGATTTGTCGATGTTATAGCACGTACGTAACGTAGCCACTGAACCCGCTTTTCTTCGTGCATGCAGTGTGGGCGATCAGTGTACAGCATGACCGACCAGCTCGAGAAGTTCACGTCAGCCGTCCAGATGATGGGGGAGGACTCGGACGACCTCATCTCCAGATCGCTCTTCTTCATCAGCGTCGGCAGCAACGACCTGTTCGAGTATGCCTATCCCTGGCCGACGCCCCGGAACCGCAACGACACAGCCTTCCTGGGATGCCTCGTCGACCATTACAGGACCTACCTGCAGGTGCGTGCCACTGCATGCTGCCCATATGTGTTTGGTTGGTGCTTCCAGTAATCGAACGTGAAAGCCGATTATTCTTGCAGGAGCTGTATGCGGTCGGGGCAAGGAAGTTCAGCGTCGTCAGCCCGTCGCTGGTAGGGTGCTGCCCGTCGCAGAGGGCGGTCGCGCTGACACATAACAATGACACCGACGAGTTCAACTGCTTCGGCGCGGCGAACAGGCTCTCCAGGCAGCTGTACCCATTGATAGACTCGATGCTGCAGGGCCTCAACGCTGATCTGGACGGCATGAACTACTCCCTCTGCGACTCCGTAGGGATGGCCGAAATGGTCTTCGCCAGCGGCGGAAAAGCCGTCAGTACGTCGGCAACGCACCCTCAAATATTACTCTTTCCGTTCCAAATTAGTTGACTCAGATTTATCTAGATACAGATATATCTAGACATGTTTTATTGTTAGAAACATCCGTATCTAGATAAATCCAAGTCGACTAATTTGGAACGGAGGGAGTACCTGCCACAGTGTATTGCCGGGATGTTTCAGTGATGTGTGGTTAATTTTTGTTTGGCAGACATGACGGTGGTGGACACGGCGTGCTGCGCCGGCAGAGGACGGTTCGGGGAGGGCCAGTGCAACACCTCCGCCACGCTCTGTCCGAACCGCGACGACTTCATGTTCTGGGACGGCTTCCATCCGACGGAGGCGGCATCGCTCGCGGCCGCGCTCGAGCTCTTCGGCGACACCGGCAAATACCTCCACCCGATGAACGTGAGGCAGCTGGCGGCGCTGTAAGCGTGTAGAGCCGCGCAGACGCCCTGACTTGTTTCTACGTGCTCCGCCGAGGTCTTGGCGTTGCTGATTATTCCAGAATAATAAGTGGTGTGGGTAAACCTGTAGGGCGGGGAGCCAGAAAATTTGGCCACTGGTTCGCTCATCCACTCGTTACGAGAATTTGATATGAATTTACGAAGATTAAACTTCAGTCTTGCTAAATCACAGTCGATTGAGATTTTGTTAATGTCTCAGTCGATGCTATATGAAATTTTACAATGAGATCCATGCATAAAAAAATTCTTCCAATTTTTTTCCTTATATATTATGCCACTTGACCGGGACTTGTTTAAGTAGTCTTAGTCGATTAAAATGTAACCACACCCTAGGGCATGAATCTTCATATAAAAAAGAAAAAAGAAAAAAAATGCACCAATCTTCGTATAAAATCTCATGAATATAGCATCGACTGAGACTTAGTTAAGTCTTAGTCTACTAATATTTAGTGATCCGTAAACTTTAAAGTCTAATTATAACAAAGGTATAACACTCATAAACATTATAATGAATAGAAATATAGTATCACGTATCACTTATGGTGTTGCGTTACAAACTGAACAGTGCAAGACATACTAGCTCGATAAAATTATAAACGGGATTGCTAAAACCAGGTTCGATGAGGGGAGCGGTTTGTTAGACTGGTGTGGGAAGACATGTCTACGACAATCAGATTCGATGTGTCAAAATTCGATGGTATGAGGAACTTTGCAATTTGGCAGATAGGGGTCAAGAACATTCTGAGTCAACAAGGTGCCTAAAGCCTGCCAAGATAGATATCAAAGACTGGGAAGATGTGAAGAGCAGGGTGGCTGGGACAATACGGTTATGTGCTTGAATGACTAGATCTTTTACCATGTGATGGATGAGATGACACCAGACGAAACCAAATTGGAAACTCCATTCCTGTACGCAACTTTAGATATAACTTGTTGGACACAACTTTCTCCAGTCTTGATCACACCTCCTGCGTACGGTCTCCGGAGTCTTGACGTATACTTCAAGATCTCTACCGCCGCCTAGCTTCTAGTTACCGACCTTGTAACCCTAGATACCCTCCCTGACGTGTATATAAGCCGTCGGTTTAGCCCGTAGAGGGGACATGAACACAAAATCCTTCACCTAGCCCTAGAGTTAGACCACACATTACGATCTTGAGGTAGATCAACTCCGTACTCGATACATCTCCATCAATATTAACAAGAGCAGGATGTAAGGTTTTACCTCCATCAAGAGTGCCCGAACCTGGGTAAACATCATCTCCTTCATTCTTGTTACCTTCGATCCGAAATCCACAGCTCGGAACCCCTACCCAGAGGTCTGCCGGTTTTGGCACCAACGCTTGTGCTTTCATTGATAGTTTCGTTGTGCAATCATCGGAAGGATCGATGACTCATCTGTTGGGGAACGTAGCAGAAAATAAATTTTTTCTACGCATCACCAAGATCAATCTATGGAGTCATCTAGCAACGAGAGAGATAGGAGTGCATCTACATACCCTTGTAGATCGCGAGCGGAAGCGTTCAAGAGAACGGGGTTGATGGAGTCGTACTCGTCGTGATCCAAATCACCGAAGATCCTAGTGCTGAACGGACAGCACCTCCGCGTTCAACACACGTACGGTTGGGAGAGACGTCTCCTCCTTCTTGATCCAGCAAGGGGGGAGGAGAGGTTGATGGAGATCCAGCAGCACGGCGGCGTGGTGGTGGAAGTTGCGGCGATCTCGGCAGGGCTTCGCCAAGCTCAGCGAGAGGGAGAGGTGTTACGGGGGAGAGGGAGGCGCCAGGGACTAGGGTGTGCAGCCCTCCCTCCCCCCTCTTTATATAGGGGCCCTGGGGGGCGCCGCCCCCCTAGAGATCCAATCTCAAGGGGGGGGGGGGGCAAAGGGGGGGACTTGCCCCCCAAGTCAGGTGGGGCGTCCCCCACCCCTAGGGTTTCTAACCCTAGGCGTAGGAGGAGGCCCAAGGGAGGCGCACCAGCCCACCAGGGGCTGGTTCCCTTCCCACTTCAGCCCATGGGGCCCTCCGGGATAGGTGGCCCCACCCGGTGGACCCCCGGGACCCTTCCGGTGGTCCCGGTACAATACCGGTGACCCCCGAAACTTTCCCGGTGGCCGAAACTGGACTTCCTATATACAAATCTTCACCTCGAACCATTCCGGAACTCCTTGTGACGTCCGGGATCTCATCCGGGACTCCGAACAACTTTCGGGTTACCGCATACTAATATATCTACAACCCTAGCGTCACCGAACTTTAAGTGTGTAGAGCCTACGGGTTCGGGAATCACACAGACATGACAGAGACAGCTCTCCGGCCAATAACCACCAGCAGGATCTGGATACCCATGTTAGCTCCCACATGTTCCACGATGATCTCATCGAATGAACCACGATGCCGAGGATTCAAGTAATCCCGTATACAATTCCCTTTGTCAATCGGTACGTTACTTGCCCGAGATTCAATCGTTGGTATCCCAATACCTCATTCAATCTTGTTACCGGCAAGTCACTTTACTCGTACCGTAATGCATGATCCCGTGACCAACCACTTGGTCACATTGAGCTCATTATGATGATGCATTACCGAGTGGGCCCAGAGATACCTCTCCGTCATACGGAGTGACAAATCCGAGTCTCGATCCGTGTCAACCCAACAGACACTTTCGGGGATACATGTAGTATACCTTTATAGTCACCCAGTTACGTTGTGATGTTTGGTACACCCAAAGCACCCCTACGATATCCGGGAGTTACACGATCTCATGGTCTAAGGAAATGATACTTGACATTAGAAAAGCTCTAGCAAACGAACTACACGATCTTGTGCTATGTTTAGGATTGGGTCTTGTCCATCACATCATTCTCCTAATGATGCGATCCCGTTATCAATGGCATCCAATGTACATAGTCAGGAAACCATGACTATCTGTTGATCAACGAGCAAGTCAACTAGAGGCTCACTAGGGACATGTTCTGGTCTATGTATTCACACATGTATTATGATTTCCAGATAACACAATTATAGCATGAATAATAGACAATTACCATGAACAAGGAAATATAATAATCATTTTATTTATTGCCTCTAGGGCATATTTCCAACAGTCTCCCACTTGCACTAGAGTCAATAATCTAGTTACATTGTGATGAATCGAACACCCATAGAGTTCTGGTGTTGATCATGTTTTGCTCACGGAAGAGGTTTAGTCAATGGATCTGCGACATTCAGATCTGTATGCACTTTGCAAATACCTATGTCTCCACCTTGAACACTTTCACGAATGGAGTTGAAGCGACGCTTGATGTGCCTGGTCTTCTTGTGAAACCTGGGCTCCTTGGCAAGGGAAATAGCCCTAGTGTTGTCATAGAAGAGAGTGATCGGCCCCGGCGCATTGGGTATGACTCCTAGGTTGGTGATGAACTCCTTCATCCATATTGCTACATGTGCTGCCTCCGAGGCTGCCATGTACTCCGCTTCACATGTAGATCCCGCCACGACGCTTTGCTTGCAACTGCACCAGCTTACTGCCCCACCATTCAAAATATACACGTATCCGGTTTGTGACTTAGAGTCATCCAGATCTGTGCCGAAGCTAGCATCGACGTAACCTTTTACGACGAGCTCTTCGTCACCTCCATAAACGAGAAACATATCCTTAGTCCTTTTCAAGTACTTTAGGATATTCTTGACCGCTGTCCAGTGTTCCATGCCGGGATTACTTTGGTACCTTCCTATCAAACTTACGGCAAGGTTTACATCAGGTCTGGTACACAGCATGGCATACATAATAGACCCTATAGCCGAGGCATAGGGGATGACATTCATCTTTTCTCTATCTTCTACCGTGGTCGGGCATTGAGCCGAGCTCAATTTCACACCTTGCAACACAGGCAAGAACCCCTTCTTGGACTGATCCATATTGAACTTCTTCAATGTCTTATCAAGGTATGTGCTTTGTGAAAGACCTATGAGGCATCTCGATCTATCTCTATAGATCTTGATGCCTAATATGTAAGCAGCTTCTCCAAGGTCCTTCATTGAAAAACACTTATTCAAGTAGGCCTTAATGCTGTCCAAAAGTTCTATATCATTTCCCATCAAAAGTATGTCATCTACATATAATATGAGAAATGCTACAGAGATCCCACTCACCTTCTTGTAAACGCAGGCTTCTCCATAAGTCTGCATAAACCCAAACGCTTTGATCATCTCATCAAAGCGAATGTTCCAACTCCGAGATGCTTGCACCAGCCCATAAATGGATCGCTGGAGCTTGCATACCTTGTTAGCATTATTAGGATCGACAAAACCTTCTGGCTGCATCATATACAGTTCTTCCTTAAGATAGCCGTTAAGGAATGCCGTTTTGACGTCCATTTGCCATATCTCATAATCATAGTATGCGGCAATTGCTAACATGATTCGGACGGACTTCAGCTTCGCTACGGGAGAGAAAGTCTCATCGTAGTCAACCCCTTGATCTTGCCGGTAACCCTTAGCGACAAGTCGAGCTTTATAAATGGTAACATTTCCATCCGCGTCCGTCTTCTTCTTAAAGATCCATTTATTTTCTATCACTTGCCGATCATCGGTCAAGTCTGTCAAAGTCCATACTTTCTTTTCATACGTGGATCCTATCTCGGATTGCATGGCTTTAAGCCATTTGTTGGAATCTGGGCCCGCCATCACTTCTTCATAGTTCGAAGGTTCACCGTTGTCTAACAACATGATTTCCAGGACAGGGTTGCCATACCATTCTGGTGTGGAACGTGTCCTTGTGGACCTACGAAGTTCAGTAGCAACTTGATCCGAAGTACCTTGATCATCATCATTAAGTTCCTCTCTAGTCGGTGCAGGCACCACATGAACATCTTCCTGAGCTGCGCTACTTTCCGGTTCAAGAGGCAGTACTTCATAGAGTTCTACTTTCCTCCCACTTATTTCTTTCAAGAGAAACTCTTT